GGCGGCGGGCGGCAGGTAGCCCGAGAGGGCGAGGCAGGAGGTGAGTGTAACCGCCCGCGTTTGGCTGCCGCGGGCTCCAGCGCCGTTGTTCCCTCATGGCTTATCCTAAGCCTCACCCCGCGGTTTGCTGGTCTCTCACACACAGGTGGGTGCCAGGTCATGGAGCCGCACACATAGCGGGAAAGAAATCCTGAGTTCTGAAGAAGTGCCACATCTTGGATGAGCGCAGCGATGGGCGGCCAGCTCTAAAATAATCGTAAGTCCCGAAGCCTTAACAAGTCCCACTCCTCCACCCTGTCCTGCCCAGGAACAGGCCCTGTCTCAGGTGGAACTGGTCACACATTGACCCTGCCCAGGAGACCCGAGTAACTGCAGCTGCAGAAATGTGAAGGTTTGTCCTTCCACCATCTGTGAATTCCTTGTGTCATTTTCTATACTTGAAATATATAAACTTGTTGCAGATGTCTTTTTCCTGCAAGTCTCCCATCTTTCTGTAATCTCATTTTTTATCTAAGGACACATGCAGAACAGCATTTCCTCACCTTGTCTAATGTGCAGAATAGTCAAAATGACTTGTCGTTTTCTAGACCATCTCACCCTGTGTCGTGGTTGAGAAGAAGCTTTTCTGCTGGGTCAGCTGGGTGACAATTTAACCTTAAGAACCACTTGCTGTTTTGCTGGTAATGCTTTTCCTTGTGAGTTCCGAGATGATTGTGAGATAAAGTCAAGTGGGATTTCCCGGAGCGGGTGCTGGTGAGGCCGTTCAGTGCCTGTGTCCAGAGAGGCCAGACGTCCCATCGAGCTGCTGCGTCCAGCCCGCGGCCCTTCTGTGCCCCCGCTGGGAGCTGGAAGCGCTTTGCCGTGCCGCAGTGGGGGAGCACGTTCTCCTTCCCCGCTGGACACCCCAGCCCAGCATCTGGGGTGCGGGCAGAGTGGCAGGGCTCCAGCAGACGGGCTCGTGGTGTCTCTCGGCGTTTGCTGCCTGTGGCTGCGTCTGCCCGGGGTGACCAGCATGATCCTTCGTCGTAGCTGTTGGTGTGGCAGTAGCCACGCTCGCACCCGCGGGAGACCGTGGCAGCGGGAGGAGAGGGCGGGTGACTCAGGGGCTGACGTGCTGGAGGAGGCTCCTGCCCTTGTTTCCCCTTCCTGCCGCTTTGGCCAGGGCTGCATCAGCCTGGGATGAGCTCAGGCTGTTACACAAACCTGACCTGCGGGTGTGGGGCAGCCGAGTCATCGCTGGTGCTGCCGGAACTTCGGTATCATCAACACTAGGGTTTTTGTGTACTTGCCACGGTTGCTCCAAGCTGTTAGCAACGAAAAATGGATGTTGTCCAGAGGAGAGGAAGAATAACAATGGCTGTAGAAACTCATGGGACAAGGTGGAAGGGGTGGTTCTGTTCAGCCCAAGAGGGCTGGCGGAGAGAGGGCTCAGCTCTGCGCGTGCGCCCGGGACACAGCGGGTGGCTGCGCTCTGTGCCCCCGCGAGCCAACAAGGGGCCCTTGTGCTGGGTTGAATCAAGTGAGACTCGGATCTTTGGAAAAACTGCTCTCTGGCTGCTGCCTTTGGAAACGACGGCGGCACCAGTGTCTGCAAGATCCTGGTGAGGGGCTGTGCACGCCTGCCACGTCCTGCTGCAGCAGCTGTGGCTTTTTTGGTTTGTTTTTCTCTATTCACCCTCTGACCTCTCAGAGACTGGTGCTGCACTGCAAGTGGTCAATGAGAGTCAGGAAATGGCTGATGAGGAGCGGAGAAACAAGACCAAAAAGCATTGAGAGCCCAGTGACGTTGCTGGTGGACACACAACGCTCCCAGTCGGTCCCGAGAGCTGCACTGCTGCGTGCGATGGGTGCAGGCACGATCCTGCTCTGCGGGATCCGGGTCGTGGAGCCAGAACAGGACCGGCAGGATTCATCTCTCCGAGGTGTTTGTTTCAGTAGAGAAATGTGCTCATCAGACATTCTCCTTCATTAGTTCCCTGAATGTTAACCAAGATTATGGTCTGCCGGAACGGAAGCGCGTCAAGATGACGGCGTTGTTCCGAGAGAAGGAGCCACCGGGGAGCGCGGGGGCAGAGGCAGCTCGCGGTGGTCCCAGGGCTGGAGGGGCCCTGCGGTCCCGCCAGTTGTTGCGGACGGTTGCCCGGGCACGTGGGAAGGGAGCCAACGCTGCGGGCACGTCGCTCTGTGGGGTGTCCAGCAGCGATAAGCACCGGGCTGTCGGGCTCAGGCGCAGAGCCACAAGGTGTGGGGCGCTGGATCTTTGACAGACACGGGCAGTTTGCGTAGAAATTGCGTCTGAATTGAGTCACGGCCATGAGGGGAAGAATAAACCTGTACTTAAAGAATATTTCTTGCAATGAGCCCTCTTCCCACACAGGTTTGGCAGCACGGAGCCGTGCGCCTTCCCCCTCCTGAGTCACGGCCCTCACGCTGCCCCTGCGTCGCTTCGACGTGACGCTGATGGCAAGCTCCTTGAGCAGGAACTTGGCCTTTTTGGTGTTCGTGCCAAGTGGCACGGCTTGCTGAGGACTGTAGAAATCGTGTTGAGCTCAAACCAATTAATTTTGCTTGCCCCACAGTTGCAGGTTTTAACTTTGTCTTTTGATGCAGCAAGTGCAACCCATTCTTGCTGGCGTGTCCTGGTCAGACTAGTCCTTAAGTTCTCCTGTAACACTGATTGCGCTTTGGTAGGTGTATAATTCAGGAAGAACTAATTAAATAGGGAAGGAGAAAATTGCAAAATCAGATTGTGACTAGCACTCCTGTGTGAATTGAGAATAACTTAATTTAAATGGGTTAGCAATCACATAATTGAAGGTACTACTTAATCTGTTATCTCAAACGCATTAAATAAGTCTGGACCCTGAAATCAGATGCAGAGGAAAGGGCAGTCGATGTGGCAGTGCGTTTCATTGTTCGTTTATTCTTAGTGTGGGTCTCTGAAGGCCGGCGGTTTGGACCTGGGGTTTGGAGGCAGATTCCTGTGCTCTCCTCACCTTGGGCGAGCTCTCGTCCTTGGCATGCCGAGCCTTTCCCTGCAGGGAGCTCCACTTCCCCAGAGCACGGTCTCCTGGGGCAGACCTTCCGCTGGACCGGCAGCGGCGGAGCAGCCTGAGCCCCGGCTGCGGGGGGAGGCCGTGCCTCTGCTTACGGTTCTCCGGGGTCTGGGGGCTCTGGCTCAGCCTTGGCCTTAGGCTGGGGAGTCTCGGCCGTGGGCAAAATAGTCTCGACTCCAGGGAACTTTTAATTAATTTAATCTGTTGCCATTTAACAGAAACTTCTACTCCCTGATTAGAGGTAACAGATGTGCCCAGCGGCGGTGGCTTGGGGCCGGCCGTGGCCTCCCACACAGGTGTTGCCGCCTAAACCAGGTGGTTTGTGCCCAAAACTGCCCTCAGGCCGGAGCGGGCAGGGTGCTCGTGTGAGCTGGCGGGGTGCCGGTGCTGCCTACGGGCACAGGGTGCCCCCCAGGTGCCTGTGCTCTGCTCTTGGGTGCTCCTGCGGGAACCCATTTGGCGTTCATGCGCGTCATAACCGCGCGCTCCTGCGTGAACTCACGGCGCTCACGCATGGGGTTACGGAATGCCCATGTGTAAATAAATTGGGCACACGTGTGCGGACACTAAACCCTGAAATTTATGCTCCAGAGCTCCCAGAAAGCTGCTCTGAGGGCGCCTTGATGGAGTCTGGTTGGGCTGGATGAAGGATTGCACCGAGCTCTGCCTACTCCGTGCCGGGGCTGCGCGGGGCTGCCCCACAGTAACGGGATTCAGGGCGGCCCGTGGGGCTGGGGAACAGTGTTAATTTGCAGAGCCCAGCGCTTGCAGCTCCCCAAACGTCTTTCTGAGCTGCTGCTCTCTGCCAGGAGATGCCCCGTCTCCATCAAGAGCTCTCATCTTTAAAACCTCACCAGGCTTTGGGTGTCAGCGCTGCCCACCGCGCTCTCCCTCCCAGTTTGGACTCAGCAGTGGCATGAAGAAAAGAGACGGGTGGTGCTGCAAATCCTATTTGATAAAGGAAGGGTGCTGGAGGCCCCTTCCTCCATGCACCTCCCAGAACGCGCCCGGGAGGTGGGAGATGCCCTGGCAGAGGCAGCGCCGGCGCCATGAGAAGGATCCCAGGCCCTGGGGTGGGGACCTGCCCCACGGGATGGGCAGGGATGGAGCCGGTGGGCAGCGGGCGGGGGCTTGCCAGGATGGTTTGTCCCTGGGTGCTGCTGGGCAGCCGTGGAGGGTCGGTCACAGCCCTCGGCAAGGGTGAGGGTTGCTGCTAAGGGCAGCAGGGAAGAATCTGCCTCCATGCAGCCGTGATTTCCCCTTCCCTCCTCCCGGTCCCTGTGTTGTCCCCTCGGCTCCGTGGGCAGTGACTCTGGATCCTGCTCCTGCCTTGGCTGTGGGTGGAGAAAGTTGCTGGAGCGGCTCTTTAGAAAAAGAAAATTACAGCAAATCGTGGGAGGTTCTTCCAAGTCACCTGGGAGCTGCTTCCTCCCATTCCCAGACCCGGGCTACCTGGGAGGAACTTTAAATTGCCGCCCGGCTCAGCCCCGGCCACTGGCTTCGGCAGCATGACGGCGAGAGGCATCTTCCTGCTGGGGCTCCTCGCCCTGTGGGCAGAGCTGCAGGCAGCACCCACCGCAGGCAAGTACGGGCGTGCTGGGACCACCTGGCCTCTCTAGGGTTTAAGAATATTTCCCGTATTTTCATAGAATCAGGGAATGGTTTGGGTTGGAAGGGACCTTTGAAGGTCGCCTGGACCAACCCCCCTGCAGCGAGCAGGGACATCTCCATCGCAGTCAGTGCTGACGGCGACATTGAGTGACGTGTGTTTAAACGTCTGTCTGAATCCTTGTGAAGAGCTGTAACCCGTGTGAGGTTTAGCCCTTGCTTAAATTTTATAATCTGAGTTTGGCAAAGCTTGCTCTGGTTTGGGTGCGG